CCCACCCCACCAGGAATCAAACCTAAGCTTGCCGGGCAGGCACTTTTGCCACTGACCTGTGTCCCCAGTCCCATTTTAGTTTTTTTAACCTATAATTTAGACAAATAAGCACATTTCCAGTAGGAGAGACAGCTGAATTTAAACTTATTGAAAACGTTGATATCCTTTTATTTGCTATTAGAATAGAATACAGGAGGAAAACTATGCAGTAATTCATATCTTAGACCAAAATTCCTGTAAGTATACTTTTAGGGGTGCTATGAGTGTTTTCTTGCTAGTGTGAGCTTTTTATTTTTGTATATCTTAATCCTTTAAAAATAATGTATTCCCTGTCTGATACAGAAAGAGGTATCTTTACTTGGTTTATCTGATAGAGGACTAGTGATCCAAATAAATCTTGTAAGCAAGAATGAAGACAATTGCTAGGCATGGTGGTGCACACCTGTAATCCCAGAAATTTGGAGGCTGAGGCAGGAGGATTGTTGCGAGTTCAAGACCAGCCTGGGCTACAAAGTGAGCTCAAGGCCAGCCTGAACTACACAGTAAGACCCTGTCTCAAAAAGATTAAAAAAGGAATAAAGGCAATTAATCACCATCTTGGAAGTTGCTTAGTTTTAACCTTGCTTTTTTGGCAAGTGATTTGTTAATTTAATAAAAAAAAATTTTAAATGGAAAAACAATCATGATTATAAAGGAGCTGAATATCATTCTTAGAGAGCAGTATAGTATAATAAGAAAAGGTGATACTTTGAGAATTTTCTAGGATTATTCTAGAATTATTTATTGAGCGAATAGAGTAATAACTTCTATTCATTTTTCACATTGATATTTACAACTTACTTTTAATCCCAAAATACATTTAAACACTGAAGAGATTTCTTTTACCTACCCAATTTCTAATAATCTAATTTTATTTTGAATAGTCCTGAACCAGCTGCCTCTTCCATCTCCTTTACCTGCTACAACTACAAAAAGCCTTCTCTTTAATGCACGAATAGCAGAAGAGGTGAATTGCCTTTTGGCCTGTAGGGATGACAATTTGGTTTCACAGCTTGTCCATAGCCTCCTCCAGGTATCAACAGATCACATGTAAGTACACAAACATCTAAACTAAAGTAAAAAGTTTTGGTATCATTAAGAGATTAGTATTCTTTGTTTTACTTAATATTTCAAAAAATTTTAAATACATAGCTTATTTTTTCAGTGTCAAGTGGGACCATACCCTGATTATGATGAGGTATAAATAAGACTTAAATGGGTCATAGTTACTTTGTATCAATGGTGTAAGTGTGTTGTTTTTTTTTTTTTACTACAGAAATGATACATGTATATTTTAACAACAAAAATTAAAAGCAAACTCTCTTATACCCTTATATCGTATTCTGTAGTGATACTCATGTAATTTTCCGTTCTTTCTTAATTTTTTATTTAAAGAATTTTTTCCTGGGGGCCGAGGAGATGGCTCAATGGAATAAGTGCTTCCCTGGCAAGTGCAAGGGCCTGAGTTCAATCCCCGGTTCTGCCACAAAATAAATAAATAAGCAAAGTATTAAAAAAAAAAAAAAAAGATTTTTTTCTTTAAAAAGTTTATTCCTTAGAACAATGAAAATACAGCACATTGTGATACGAAGGTCTCTTAATAGATACAGTGCATATTTGGGAAACATAAGGTTGCTGACTCTTAAAGTAAAATACTACATGTGACTTTTTCTAATAGAGAAATGGAGAATGGATTGATTAAAATCAGAAGGAAATACAGAATTAATATGACTAGAAATTCCACATCTGAACATTAAATCACTTCTTCTGCCTGTACAAAGCTCCAGACTGTCCCCTGATATTTTTTGCATCTTGTTGTTTGACACCATCATTATAGTTCTTTGTTATTGGGTTCAATGAATGTACACCATTGACATTTAGAACATAAAATTTCAAATGCTGCTTAATTTTATCACTATGAATTTAATTTGCTACTTTGAATTTTTATTGAAAATTGCTATTATATCTAAACATTTCCTCCCATATAAACCTTGACTTTATTTGTGAAAATAATGTATAAAAATTTATATAACCACTCAATCCTGTTTTAAATAGTATGGTAACAGTATTCCATTTGGAGAACATTTTCCAGAAAGCCAGATTCACTCATACTTACATGTAAGAGAGAAAACAAATTCCAACTCCTAACATCAACTTCCTTAAAAAAAAAAAAAAAGATCAACTTCACATAATTACCACTTCTCAATTTTTCTATCATTTTGAATAGTTTAGAATACACTATAAAAAAAGAATACAGTGTTAATTTTCTATTTTAAACTAATGTTAATTTTAAATTCATAGTTCCATGAAATGTTTTAGGTTTTTTTCTTCCCTATGGAAAATGGAAAAAAAGAATTGTTCTTAGAATAATTTCTGTCATTTGTGATATACCATTTCTTTCAAGGATAGCATCTTCAAAATTCCATGATGTTGGCACACATAAGTTATTTTCATGCCATGTCTTAATAAGTTAATCACTTTTTTATTTTTTTCTTAATATCAGAGAATTGAAAGATAACCTTGGCAGTGATGATCCAGAAGGCGATATACCAGTCTTGTTGCAGGCGGTTCTGGCAAGGAGTCCTAATGTTTTCAGGGAGAAAAGCATGCAGAACAGATATGTACAAAGTGGTAAAGTTCCTAATAATTAAATTTTATACTATTCTTTTATATGTCTTGTCAGAATTTATTTTACACATAAATTTAAGTTCCTTTTTATTAAACTGAGTTGTCACCTATGCTTGTCTGTTTATGCATCAGATAAGCATCAGACATTATCTGTTTTTGAGTCAAGCAAAGAACAAAAATTCTTGTGGTTTGAAATGTAACTTTAAAAAAATGTAACTGAATTCCTTAGAAAATAAGACAAAGTTTCAAGAGTATTTTGTTAGTTATTTTGGAATATATTAGTTTATTCAGTGAGTTTTAGGAATTAAAAGACGACTTTAGGCCCATAAGATAGCTCAGCAGCAGTGGAATAAGCACTTCCCTGGCAAGTGCAAGGGCCTGAGTTCAATCCCCAGTTCCACCAAAAAAAAAAAAAAAAAAAAGATAGCTCAGCAGACTAAGCACATGCTTAGGTAAGCACCGGGACTGGGGTTCAATCCCCAGCAACATACGTTGCACTGGCCCAACCCCAGGACTTGCTGAGCCAGCCACTGAGACTGGGTGTGGTGGTGCACAACTGTAATCCCAGTGCTAGGGAGGCTGAAAACAGGAGGATCACTACAAGTCCAACCTGCGCAGTGAGAACCTGTACCAAATACTTAAAAAAAAAAAAAGACTTTAAATAACGAAATAATTATAAAGATTTTAATGTATAGTATATGTAATAGCCAGCAAGTATTTTTAGTACTCTTGAGATGATGGTTATCTTAGCAACATAAAAATTGGCTTATAGCATTATTAAATGAAATATGGCTTACAAATATTACAAAATATTAACATAAGTCTAACAGTTACAATTCTTACATACTCAGGATATCTGGGTTAGAGCATTGTACTGTTATGGAACTTTCTGAATTTGGCAAGTCTAAGTACTTGGCTTGGTCTCAAAACTGAAGTACAGTTGGAGATAATTCTGAGGTCCAACTTACTTAACTATATTCAAGAACATTTTTGTTTACTTTATTGGACAACATCTCTCTCTTCCATTTTTGTTTCCTAGGTCTTTGTATGTTTTAATAGTATTTCTTACTGATTTTTGTATATTTGTGTGTGAATTGCATTTTTAAAGCAACTGCATAGATCCTGTCTGTTCCCCAAAACACAATTCATGGAATGCCTCTGTCCAACTTATCATTCAGCAAGTTAAAGACAGGTGTAGTTCGTATGGGATATGTCTTCACCAGAACTGATAAGCTAGATTACAGTAATAGGAGACAAAATCAATGGCGAAGTTAAGAATTACAAAGGTTTCTAAACAATATTAAAAAAAATTGGATATAGTTGATTAAAGGAAAAACTAATATTATCAGGTCTAGAATATGAGTAAAATTAGATGTAAGAACTCATCCCTGGGGCTGCGAGATTGCTTGTGGCATAAGTGCCTGCCTGGCTCATCTAAGGTTCCATGTTCAATCCCTGGTACCATATCCTGTGCCTGCCCTGGGTCTTTGATACACCAAGCTGGCCCCAAAACCAGGTGTGGTGGCACACTTACGATTGCAGTTCTTGGGGGACTGAAGCAGGAGTATTAGTCTTAACTGCGTAGTGAGACCCTGTATCAAAGGAATATTTACCCCTTTTATTTTGAAAGCCGTTTCTTCCCAGCTAGTAATTTCTGCTTTCCCAGTGAAGACTGTTAATTCATAGAGGAAAATTTTTAATTCCAGTCTCAGTATTGTTCTTTGTTTAAAAATAAAATCCAGCAACTATAATTATAGCAATTAAGTTTTTGGTTTTTTTTTTTTTTTTTCTTTTGACAGTACTGGGGATTAAACTCAGGACCTTGCGCTTGCCAGGCAAGTGCTTATTCTACTGAGCTATCTCCCCGGCCCAATTAAGTTATTAAGATATGGAATAAAACAATTTTATACTCAATTTTAGGTAGAAAAGAAAGCTCTGAAATTTAAATTTAAAAATGAACCACTGATGTTAGGCTTTGTGGGATTTTGAGCCCTAATTTCATGTAACCACTGACTCTATAACTGCAACCATTCTGTACTGTGCAGCGTCTGTTCAAGTATTACTGATGAAAGTCAGGTATCATAACAACCAGAGATGAAATTTAAGAATATCATTTGATACTTACAGCTTCCAGAGAGAGAGAGAGAGAGAGAGAGAATAGGAGATATAGAAGCTATAATAGCTTTAAGAGCTATAGAAATCATAAGAAAATTCTGGGTGAATCATAAATTTTATCACTGATTTTAAAATAAGTAACTGATTTTTTTCTGCTTCTCCTGTATAACAAAATGCCTTTTGTATAACAATTGGAAACATTTTATAGCTTGCAAAGATATATGATAACTTGAAAGCTACTCAAGTATTTTCTTTTTAAAAAAAATTTTTTTTAATGTATTTAGTACAGGGTCTACAAGGTCTCACTACACAGATCAACTTGTAGTGATCCGCATGTTTTCAGCCTCCCAAGCACTGGGATTACAGGCACATGTCACCACGCCCAGTCTCAGTGGCTGGCTCAGTGCGCCCCGGGGCTGGGGCCAGCATGGCATGCTTGGGGGTATTGAACCCCAGTCCCTGCCCCTGCCTAAGCACATACTTTAGTCTGCTGAGCTATTTGGCCAGCCTTTGTGTTTTCCTTCTTGAAATACTCATTTAATTCCTAAGTAGCAAAGAGTTTATTCTGGAAGAAGGATGCTCTGTTTTGAGTTAAAATATTTTGAATGCAAATTGTAAGATTCAGTGTTTGGGGCCCATAAATTTCATACTCTTAAAAACCTATGCCTGACACACAATGAAACAAACAGCTTTTTGAAATTAAAATCAAAGGTACAGGAAATGTATATGATAACTTATTTCCATATAATTAAGAAAAAGGATAGCCAAAGACAATATTATCTATATATTATTGTGTGTAGTATAGTGGAAATTTAGATAAGGTGATTTCTAAAAATTATTTTCAGTTCTAAAGCTAAATGATAGGACATCTAGTAAATAGATAAATTCTAATTAACAATAATCAGGGTTAGTTAGGCATTTTGACCTGGAGAAGAGCTTTTCACTACCATATGTAAAACCCTTAATTTGATCCCTTAAATCTCAAAGTTAATCATTATCATCATCATCCTTATTTCCAGTTTTGGGTTAGGTATATGAAAACATGTTTTTGTAAAATTTCTTATACTTGAAATTTACCATTTTATAATATTTTACTCTTCAAAATGAAGACACTGGTCAAAATAGAAAACTTTTGAATGTTTGCGAAGGGATGATGGATTTAAGTAACTTAAGGGATATTTTACTGTTAGAAGAAAAATAACATTTATTATTTTTATGTGTTGTATAGGAATGATGATGTCTCAGTATAAACTTTCTCAGAATTCCATGCACAGTAGTCCTGCATCTTCCAATTATCAGCAAACCACTATCTCACATAGTCCCTCCAGGTAAAAAAAAATGATATGCATATGTCATTTATTAAGTATTACTTGAATATGTGAGTGTGGTATATATATTTAGATAATGATGAGTTATATGTAATTAGTTGAAATGTTTTAGTAATCTTTATAAACTTTTGTCTAAAGTGCAGGTAGATGTACTTCTAATATATAAATTGAAGTAGCTACTATCTTTGCATAACAGAATTTTACATAGACAAAAGAATGTGCTAAGGTAACTGGGGATATAGCTCATTGGGTAGATTGCTTGTCTAATATGCATGAGGCACTGGATTTAAGGCTCAGCATCACAAAACAGTGTACTTGAGGTAAGTAAGAAAATGTGTAGAATTTATTTTATGGAACATAGCATTGTATCCCTTAAATAGATCGATACTATTGTATAATTTAAGTGAATTTTTTATAACTTTAATATAGCTAAGGTTATGAATTGTGTATGATTTTCATTGTTTTTTGCAGTTTTCTCTTTAGGTTTTATGATACATAAAATTTAGAGAATTTTGTAATAGTGAAATTTCAAGGAGTAGCATACACATTTCATTTCCTGATATTCTTTATTTAACTTTTTGTTTTAGCCGGTTCGTGCCACCACAGACAAGCTCTGGGAACAGATTTATGCCACAACAAAATAGCCCAGTGCCTAGTCCATATGCCCCACAAAGCCCTGCAGGATACATGCCATATTCCCACCCTTCAAGTTACACAACTCATCCACAGATACAGCAAGGTAAGAAGGCTGTTTGCACATTGTTGGGAATAGCTATGATTCTCTTATTTTCTTTCTTGCTTTCCCCCCCCCCCTGTGTTTAGAACAAGGTCTACAGGGTCTCACAATATACATTGGACTCCTAGTGATTCTTCTGTTGTCAGCCTCCCGAGCGCTGCGATTACAGGCATGCACCACCGTGCCAGTCTCAATAGCCTTCTCATCAGCCCTGTGGGCAGGGCTGGCACTACACTCCAGGGATCAAACCCCAATCCCTGCACTCTGCCTAAGCAGGTGCTGTCAGGCCCTATGATTCTCTTTTGATAATCTTTTTTTTTTTGTATTTTAGGGAACAGTCTACAAGGTGTTCAGGGTCTCAATACTAGATTGGACTCGTAGTGATCCACCTGTTTACAGCCTCCCAAGAGCTGGGATTACAGACACACACCACAGTCTCAATTGCTATCTCAGGATGTCCCACAGGCGGGGCCAGCACAGCAGGCCCAGGTGTTGAACCCCTGGCCCCTGCACCTGCTTGCAGCTACTTTAATCCACTAAGCTATTTGGCCTGTGCCTCTTTCGATAATCTTTAAAACACACTAAAATATTATACTGTACACTTAGTTGAAGAAAATTTTCCATACTATCTGGCTTAAGTCTTTGAAATCATGTTACATTTATCATTTAGGAAGTGAAAAGACCAGTGTGATTTTGCGTTGTAGTTTAAGAACCATTCTTTTAATTTGGTCTGTCTTCTTGCTATAGCACTAAGCTAAAGCACGATTAGTTTTTAATTTGTAAGGTAAAAACTGAATGAATTGTCTTGTCATATAGAGGAAAATAATTTTGGATGCAAACATTTTTCATATTAAATTACTAGTTCTTAATCATTTAGTCCTTACTATTATCGTATTGATGTTACAGTGTCCTTAAAGTTATATTGGCTTGGGATCTATACTGTATTAATTTATTAGTAGTATAAATTTTGCATACTTTAAAAATTTTTGAAAAACAGAAAATTTAGGATTGGGGAGATGGCTCAGTAGAATAAGCGCTTCCCTGGCAAGCATAAGGGCTGAGTTCAATCCCTGGTTTAATCAAAAAAAAAAAAAAGAAAATTGAAAAGGTTAGTTTAAAAAAATCTTCAGTTTTGTCCTCCATAATTGATAGTAAATATTAAATGTTAAGCTATAATAACAGTTTTTACATTGGTAATTAGATGTCATTGTAGGGATGACATCTATAAATCAGGATGTGAGAATGGATTATTTAATAAGTTAATAAATTATTTGATGGGCTGGGGAGATAGCTCAGTAGCATAAGCGCCTACCTGACAAGAACAAGGTCCTGAGTTTGATCCCCAGTACCACAAATGAAACAAAATTAATTATTTGATTACCTAGGTTTTTGAAATTTCAGTTGACTGCTTAGATTACTTATTAGAAGAAAAATGTTCTAGGCAGAGAAACTGGTTTTTTTTAATCATAAAATGAGAAAAAGACTGCTAGACTGTGTTGGATTGTTTTGCTGAATTCATGCACCTATAGTATTCAGATGCCAATGGAATACCCATTTCTGACAGGACTAAACAAAAAAAGGTGATACAAAGGAAGGACTATTTTGTATCTGTATATGCAGAATACTTAGGATAGATACACAGCTGCTTTCACTTAATTCAATGAGAAGAAAGACTTGTACTAATAGTGTTTGGACAGGATAGTCTGTCTGCATCTTGTACTATGGATAACCACTAAGGAGATAACAATGTACAATGTATTAATTATTGAAACTGTCCTATTAAGCAGTTTTGAAACTTACTGATACTTGTTTCTCAATAAAATTAAATAATAAAATAAAATGAGAAAAAGAAAGTACAAGCAAATTTAAGAAGCCTTTTTTTTATGTATTTAGTACAAGATCTACAAAGTCTCACTACATGATTAGAGATTAGACTTATAGTGATCCTCCTGTTTTCAGCCTCCCAAGCGCTGGGATTATAAATTACAAGCTTACGCCACCACACCCAGTCTCAATCTCTGTCTCAGTGTACTCCAGGGGCAGGGCCAGCACAGCATGCAAGGGATCGAACCCCAGTCACTGCACTCTGACTAAGCAGCCACGTTAGTCCTCTGAACTATCTGGCTAGCCACACGAAACTAACTTTCTTTCTTTCTTTCTTTCTTTATTTATTTATTTATTTATTTATTTTGCAGAACCGGGGTTTGAACTCAGGCCCTTGTGCTTGCCAGGGAAGCACTTATTCTATTGAGCCATCTCCCTATCCCCCTGAAGCCTTATTTTTTTCCCCATGATTTTATTGATAAATAGCAATGAGACAGTTGCAAATCAAATCGATAGGACAGTTTCAATAATTAACACACTGCATACATTCTTCCTAGTGGTTAATTGCTGTACAAGAATCATTCTGTTCATTAAGAGAATGTAACTATATATCTATCAAAACCACTTTGAATGAACAGATATAATCGTCTATCCCCTTTTTTTGTTAAGTTCCATTCTTTGAATATTATAGGTATGTAAACCCAGCAAAATATTCTAAAAGAGTCCAGTAGCCCATAATAGTGTTGGGTCTTCCGCTTGACTGGCTACGTCAGAAATTGTTGACTTGAGTCCCCCATAGCTCAACATAACAGCATGGCTTTACTTCTTATATTTCGTTTTTATACTTTTCTGCTGGATGGCCAAGACCAAGGTAAAGCAGGACCTATGCAACAAGTGAAGCCTTATTTTTAAGCAGACTGAAAACCTGGATTAGGTTAGAAATTAGAAATTAGAAAAATAGATTGTTAATTTCTATATGAGAAGAAAATATACTTAATTACATAATTGCGTAAACAAATATGGTGGAAATATTTTGAGACACATAAACACAAAGTTAATTTTTTAATATACTAAGTTCTTATGAAGATTGATACGAGCAAGACAAAAACAGCAAGGAATTTTCTAAAAGAATACCTCACCGGGGCCAGCCAAATAGCTCAGCAGATTAAAGCACCTGCAAGCAGGTGCAGGAGCTGGGGTTCGATCCCCGGGCCTGCCTTGCCAGCCCCGCCCCTGAATCACACTGAGAAGGCCGTTGTTATTGGGCATGGGCACTCGTCTGTAATCTGAGATCTTGGGACGCTATAAACAAGCGGATCACTATTGAGTCCGATCTAGTAGTGAGACCCTGAACACCCTGTAGACCCTCCCCTAAAAAAATACAAAGGGAAAAAAAGAACAGCCCGCTGGATACAGAAAGGTTTACTGGATAATGAGATTATAGTCAATTTGACTTCAAATTAAAGAGATATAATCAAAACTTATTGAAATGAAATTTTATATTAGATTGATAAACCTTTTATAGTCATAGGAATATAAATTGATTCAGATGTTTTAGAGAGCAGTTTGGCAGTATCTGTCATTAAAAATTCACATATCTCATTTTGTAGTTCAAAATCTACCTTAATTAAAAGCTGTGGATGGAATAAACCATACTTAGAGAGTTTAATAAGTTATACCAAACATTTAGTGAAGAGGTATTTGAATCTTAGACTATTCCAGAAAAAAGAAAATCATCCACAGATTCTAAATTCATTTTATCAAGTGATATAATACCTGGAGATTAAAGCCAGGTGAAATGAAGAAGAGTATGCAGAAAGAGAATTACAGAACCATCAGAATGTATGAACATGGAAATAATATCTCTAAATAAGTGTTAAGAAAACAAGCAGTGTTATCAACCTTTGTATTAGGAATGTGTAAATTGATTAACACTAGATAATTAATGTAATTCAAGTGTGGAATGGATCTTACCAGCTTCTCAACAGATGACAAAAGAATATTTTAAAAATTTGACTTCATTATTTTCAAACTTTTTACGTAATAAGAATAGATTAAAAAAAATAGATTGGTACAACTTTATTTTGATAAAGACCATCCAGTGGTAAAAAATGAAAAATATTTTCACGAAATCTAGTATAGGACATGAATACCTATAATTGTCACTTTTACTTAATAAACAGTGTATTCTAGTTAATACCAGAAGGTAAGTATAGAAGAAACAAAGTGTCATTTTTAATGTAATTGCTATTATAGAAAATATAAGATAATTTACATAAAAGGTGCATGAATTAATAAGAGCATATTCCATTTGGATATAGCATAGGTTATTATAATGAAATTAACTTTATTTTTATGTTCCAAATAATAAGCAATTACAAGTTAAGTTATAAATGTTTAAATACTACTGGCAGTTTCAAAGAAAACTATATAATGTGCCCATGAATAAACTTAATGAAAAATGTTTAAGATGTTTGTGTAGAAAATTATAAACTTAAAAAAACTGAGCTGGGAAGATAGCTCGGCGGTCTAAGCACCTGCCTGACAAGCGCAAGGACCCGGGTTCAAGCCCCAGTTGCTGCATGCCGTGCTGGCCCTGGAACCCAGGCACACTGTGTGGGCTATCAAAACTGGGCATGCTGTTACCCTCCTGTAATTCCAGCACTGGGGAGGCTGAGACAGGAGGATCACTGCCAATCTGAGCTGCATAGCAAGACCTTGTACCTAATAAATAAATAAAAGATAAAAACCAAAAAATTAAAAGAAGACCTAGAAAATGAAGAGTTATGCTGTCTTTATGAATAGAAGAACTCAATAGGATACAGATTTATTTTCCTAAAAATCTATAAATTCCATATACTATTACAAAAACATCCCAAGGGGAATGATTGTGAAACTTAAACTCCTCCTAAAATTTTTTTAATTTAA